GTTTCAAATTGGTATGCGTGGGAGGGACGAAAAATCGGAAATATAATCCTTCAATAGGAAAAACTGAAATGGGAAGGAATGTCTGCACCCTTTGAATATGAATTTTTTTTTTAGCTTGCACTTATTTTCGTTTCTTCTTTGATTCCTTTCGAACAACGGCAACTGTAATATAATCGTCAAAATATATATGTTATTAATTATCGTTCGAAACGAAAGGTATTCTTTTTTTCACATTAAATCGACTCTTTTCCCAAACAACTCTTCATTTTTACATATTTTTTTAACTAATTTAACAAATATTAAGCAACTTGATATATATTTCATCTAATTTTACATAATTTTTTTAAATATATTTATATATTCTTTTTATTTTTTTTAAATTTCTTTGTATATATTATTTTTTTATTTATATTTATTATTTTTATCTATTTATTTATATTTTATTTTATTTATCTATTTATATATATGTTATTTATATATATTTATTTTTATATATTTATTATATATTTTAATTTATTTATTTATATTTATTTTTTTATATTATTTATATTTCTTTATTTATTAATATTTATTTCTTGTTATTTAACAATGGGTAAATTCCGTCAATGTACAAATAAACAAAATAATCAAAATACACAAACGATTGTCCGAAACACTATTGTGACATAATCGAAATATTCTAAACGAAATTAAACGTATCTCGTTTTAATGATTTATAAGAAGCGTACAGAGTACACTTGACAATTTTGTTCTAAAATAAATAAATAATGAAAATTATAACCTACAATTACATGCATAGCCCGTAGTACAGCGAAAATAAAATTCTTTCTTATCTGTTCGATATTGGCCTTTTTATTTCATGCGTACATATTATTTACGTACTTCTGGAAACTTAACTCGAAACTTTTGGAACGTAAATCGTAGGTTAAGGAGTTAAAGGTGCACATAGCAATCTTCGTAGATAAAATTTCTTATCGTTCGACTAACACATAAGAGACGAGTCGTCATTATAGTTTTATTAGTAAGAATTTTTCTTTGAAAAATAACAATTTAAGTAAACAAACCAATTGAGTCTCACTCGTTCACACAACATTATATATATATTTTCTTTTCTTTTCTTTACAATTTACTTTTTCCGATAATCAAAACTTTTAAACTTGGAAAATTTGTTTTATAATTAACGAACAATTTGATACCTTTGAATTATCGCAATAACTTTGATGTTTTTTGTTTTCAATCTTATTCTCTTTCACACTCTGTTTACCCGAGCGTATTGTTCTTTGTGGGAAATTTTCCTATTTTCACCATCGTCGATTTTCCAAGTGCTTTTGGTAAATGAACAAAAATTACTCAGATAAAAACTGAAGCCACCGTACAGGTGTCTACCAGTACATCTGTTTCTAAGAACGTTCAACGCTCTCATTTATATTTGACTCTACCGGCAGTAGTATCTTTCGTGACGTAAACATTATCATTGTCATTATCAGAAAGCTTCCTCGGAAAGACATAATTAAAATTCGTCCTTGAATTGTACACTCCTACGTATTTGTACTTATGTATTCGTGTGTTTAAGTGCATGAATGTTTAATTTCAATCAATTTATACCTCTCTGCATAAATTTTGCTCGATAACTTCTCAAATAATAATAATAATAATAAAAATAATAATAAAAATAATAGCAAAACAAAATTACCAATCTTATTATTTTTTTCTTTTCTTTTTTCTTACGATTCGTTCGATCATGTTTTTTATTTATTAAAAGTTTTTAAATTACCTTCCTCGTGTAACGTTTTTAAGACGAGCTTTATAAAAAGAACAAAAGAAACAACGTGACAAAGCATCTCTGCAAATACGAGAAACACGTCAAACAAGTGTTCCGACGCAGTTTCCTTTGATCATTTTCAAATCCTCCTTCTTTCTTGTTATCTACAAAGATCATGCTCTTTCGACGGATGTAGTCTAACCATATATGTGTGCCAGTGTGTGTGTGTGTGTGTGTGCTTATATAC